ATTGCAGTGCTGGAGAACCCAAAAAATAATTGGAGAAAGATTGTAAGAATAATCTATGGACTACGTGATGTAGAGGGTGCTTCTGCAAAAACTAGATAATGCTCAGAAGTATTTAGAACTGGAAGTAAAAATAAAGAACCTGCTTTCTATGTGTTAGAAATAACAGATCCCTGATGATCACCTTTCCATCTCCATTATCACGATGGCCTTGAAAGAAATAATTGTTTTGTCCCCGCAACCGAGGACCAATGAAGATGCAGCTTGAACTGCCAGTGACTTCCAAGTGCTTTGGAAAGGGCTTCTTAAAGCAGAATGGTGTCAAGTCAGTTTTACCCTGCAGCAGTGCCCCCAGTTTGTTTCACTACATGTAGAAGAAGAAATACCACGTAGAGCCAAGCTATCGGCTTGCAGGAAAAGGTTACTGGAGAACACAGCAATACTCTACCCATTGTTCAATCAAGTGGTAGCAAAAAATCACCAAGCGTTGAATATGCCCATCCCCTCTGATCTACCTGTGGCACGCTGGCTACTCGAGAACATGTTACAAACTGATGTGGAGAACTTGTGGCCAATCGCAGAATTGATGGGGTGGGCAGAGGAGAGCTGCTGGCTCCTTCACTGTGACAGGGAGGAATGGTATGGTTTGGGAACTCCACTTTCAGTTGAACTCTTCTATAAGCACAACACATGAAATCCCATTCCTGTGTAAGATGGAGAAAGTGTGACGGTTTCGTAAAGCTAGTTGAAATGGAAACAAAAGACATGAGGAATGTGTGCAGTACTGAGATTATAAAAGACACAAGGAAAACTTAGGAATATTACGTTCGCGAGTGACTGCAAGAAGAATCTCTGGACATCTGGAGGGAGAGATGGATTACGATACGGAAGAAACCACAGAGATTCACCCTAGTCTAAAAAATAACGGTTTGAAGAGGAAATCTCTGCTGGTGTAGGCAGCGAGCAGTATGAACAAGACCTATATCGTCTCAATCGACTCGAGAAGGACCGGGTGAAAAGGAAAGTAAAAGACTATTACGAAATTGCTGAGGGAGTGCAGCGTGCGGCTGTTGTACGGTGGCGATGGTTCCCGCGGCAGAGGCAGCGGCGGCGGTCGGTGGAGCCGTGCGTGCAGTGCCGGGCGTTGGCTGCGGGCGCCGCTGTTCACCGCGGAGGAGAGGAAGGAGCGGAGCGCTGCAGGCAGCCCCGCCCGCTGCGGCCCGGCTCGCTCGCTCGCTCTGTCTCTGTGTCGGCGTCCGGGCGGACTGCGAGCGGCCCCGCGGTGCGGAGCGGTGCTGCAGCGAGTCGGAGGGGCGGCGGGAGCGGTCGGCAGCGGGCGCCGAGCCGGAACCGGAGCAGAAGCAGAAAGAGAAGTATCAGAAGAAGTGGGAGTGGGAGCGGCGCGGCAGCGGCGATCGTGAGGTGTCGGCGGTGGTGCGGTGTCGGCGGGGCCGTGCGGGAGATGTTCTTGGCGAGAGAAGGGCGCTGGGGCCGGAGGCAGCGGGCGCTGCTGTGCTGCGTGTTGGTGGCGGCGTGGGAGGCGGCGTGGGGGCAGCTGCGCTACTCGGTGCCCGAGGAGCTGCCCAAGGGCTCGTTCGTGGGCGACGTGGCCAAGGACCTGGCGCTGGAGCTGTCGGCGCAGGGCGCCCGCGGCGCCCGAGTGTTGTCCCAAGGCAGGGCGCAGTATTTCGCTCTGCATGCGAGCAGCGGCCACTTGGTGACGGCCGAGAGGATCGACAGGGAGCAGCTGTGCGAGAGCGAATCCGAATGCGTGCTGCGCTGTGAGCTGATCGTGGAGGGCGAGATGAAGGTTTATGCAATCGAAGTGGAAATCACGGACATTAACGACAATACGCCGAGCTTCGAAGAATCAGAAAAAGAACTGAGAATTATTGAAATTACAGCTATAGGGTCGCGTTTTCTACTAGCTGAGGCTCACGACCCGGACGTGGGTTTGAATTCCCTGCAGAGCTACGCGCTGAGCGGCGACGAGCACTTCTCGCTGTCGGTGCAGGCGGGAGCCGACGGCGAGAAGCGTCCCGAGCTGGTGCTGGCCAAGGCGCTGGACCGGGAGGAGGCGGCGTTTCACGAGCTGCTGCTGAGGGCGAGTGACGGCGGCGAGCCGGCGCGGACGGGCACGGCGCGCATCCGCGTGGCTGTGCTGGACGCCAACGACAACGCGCCCGCGTTCAGCCAGGCGGTGTACACGGTGCGAGTGCCCGAGGACGTGCCCGTGGGCTCCACGCTGCTCAGCGTCACCGCCACCGATCCCGACGACGGAGCCAACGGCGAAGTGAAGTATTCGCTGAGAAAACTAACAAAAGTAGCAACGAAATTCTTCCACCTGGAACCTGATACCGGAGCGATCAGGCTGGTGAAGAATCTGGATTACGAGGAAGGAGATTCATACGAACTCGAAGTACAGGCACGAGACGGAGGGGAACTATTCGATACGGCGAAGGTGTCGATCTCGGTGACGGACGTG